AAAAAGTTAAAAAAACTTTTTATTTATTTATCAAGCAGTGTGCTATTTGATATAATTGACAGAAACGATTATATTCTTAAAGAAGATGCAACCTTTAGCAGTGCTAAATGTGAGAAACCAATTGGTAGCTGTGAGGCCATTTGAATTTGCTTTTTTAGTTCATACCTTTTTTTTTATCATCACTTTTTTTCTTGAAAGTTATTGAACATTGTTACAATTTTACTATTATTTAAGGAGCTGAAAAGCCACCTATGAGAATCACATTCTTAATTTTTCTTTTTTCTGTTTTTTTTTTTTTTGTTTTTTTTTTTGAGCTGAGTTATTCAAATTTACATACATATGAACTTCTTATGGCATACATGTGATAAACGAATTGAATAAATACGAGTCAAACAAAACCAATACTTTCTGAATAAAGAATAGGGTATCCCAAAAACTTTTTTTAAAATTTCAATGTGCTCTCCACTGATCCCCATTCTATAGGTTCTAAATAGTTACCGAAATCTTTTTTTTTATTTTTTAATGACTAGAAGTGATAGATGTAAATTCTGAGTTTTACGGTATTGTACACATGTGTATTTACATAAAAGCAGCGCACAGTGACTCAAAACAACAAAAAAATGGCAATAAACCCCCACCACTTTTTTATAAATTAAGTGCCCTTTGTTAGATAATATTAAAAGACAATGATTTTTTATTTCACAAGTAAAAATAATCTTTTCATAAAGCTTTTATTTTGTATTTTATAGGTAAAAGAAGTGAAAAAACCTGTTATTATTTTTAAAGAAATCTGAAAAATATGAGGTTTTTATTCAACTAGATTAGAGAACTTGAAATTTAAATAAAAGTGTATATCTATTTTTAAAATAATATTTTGACTCTATATATTTCAAATATACTAAAAAGAAAAAAAAAAGTCTGATTTTTTTGTTCAAATTTAAAGACTTCTCTAAAAAAAACATGTTTGAAAAAGCTTAATTGAACAACTTTGGTATTTCCCGTTTCAAGAAATACCAAATTATTACATCCTGTAATAACACATATTACTTAGTTAACTTTATATTACATGTAATATAAAGTTAACTAAGTAATATGTGCTATTACAGGATGTAACAATGTGAAAATTGTTAAAAGTCATAACAAGATAAAATTTGAAACAGTGTAAAGTAAAAAAATATGTAATATAATTTAAAATGTGTCTAATATATAAGTTTTATTATATTAATGGTTCTTAAAAACGATAACAATGAAAAGATTAGATTTTATCCCAAATATACGTGAATTAGGAGTTGATAAATTAAAATTATGGAAGGATTTACTTAATGAACTAAAAAATAATGAAAAAATTCGCAAAGAAAACTTAAATAAAGTTAAGCTTGCTTTAGTTATATTTATTTCAAAGGCGAAGAAAAAACTAAAACAATGTGGACGAAACTATGATACATTTATACAAAAAGAAAATCGTTAGCTTCAAAGAAATCTTATGAACAATAAAAATAGCCGTTTTGCTTCTGGAAGACCCCATAAACAATGGAGTGTTCTTGGAGAGAGAAGCAAAAGAAAAAAAATAAAAGAACTAGCCACTGAACATCATGAAGCTCTATTTTTAGGTTCTGCAAAAAGTGCAAATGCTGCTGGAGAAAAAAAAAAGCCTCTGTTTTAAAAAACAATATATCTAATGTTTTAGAGATAGAAAAAGTTGATAAAACTTTGGATAAAACCTTTCCCATTAATATGAATGTAGAGGATGCTCTTGCATTAAAAATGAATACTGATCTCAGCGATAAACAATATCAAATGATCAGAAACTCAGCTCTTGTACACAACGTACATATTTATCCTGCATGATATTTTTGTGGAAAAATTGAAATGCTATCCTGAGAATATACATTTTTTCTGAAATTTCTGCAAATTGTACTCTTCAAAGCATGTTAGATTACACTGTGAGTAGAATAACAGAATTGATTGATATGCCTAATTTTGGTCAAAGTGATGAAATATTTGGAGTTTTATATGGAAAGATTGGTTTTGATGGAGCATCAAGCCAAAGTATTTATAAACAGAAATACGATACAAGCAACGCAAGTATAGAACTTAAGCATGAAGAAAATCTTTTCAGTACAGCTTTTGTGCCTTTATTGCTCAAAGTAGAAGATGGCAAAATTTGGAAAAATGAAAATCCTTCAAGCTGTCACTTTAGTAGACCTCTTCATCTACAATATAAAAAAGAGAGTCCAATTTTATCCAGAGAAGAAGAATCAGATCTAAAAAATCAAATAAATACCTTAAAGACGTTTTGCAAAGTTTTTAATATTGCAGGAAGAATTTTGATATTTAATATCAGCTATAGGATTGATCTTACAATGTTTGATAATAAAGTAGTTAGCGCACTTACAGAGACAAAATCTACTCAATCCTGCAATGTGTGCAATGCTAAACCCAAGGAAATGAACAATATTGATTTATTAAAAGCAAAAACTGAGAATGACTCGGCCTTGGGGCTCGGAATTTCAGCTTGGCATTGCTGGATAAAATGCTTGGAGTTCATTCTTCATTTGAGTAATAAAATTGAAATTAAAAACTATAAGCCAAAAACAATTGAGATAAAACTAACTGTAAACTAAAAAAAAAAGAGATTCAGGTACTCTTCAGAGAACGGTTAAGCCTATACGTTGATATGCCTAAAACTGGGTCTGGAAACACGAATGACGGCAACACTGCCAGAATAGCATTTAAAAGTAGTGAAGTTTTTTCTGAAATTGCTAAAGTTGATTGTGATATAATTAAAAGATTGAATAATATTCTCATAACCATATCTTGTGGATATCCTATTAATATCAATGAATAAGATTTATACTGCACTGAAACAGCTAAACGTATAGTGAGTTTATACAACTGGAATGTTATGCCTCCTACTGTACATAAACTGCTACTGCATAGTTCTTCTATATCAAATAAATTACCTTTGCCAATCGGGATATATTCGGAAGATGCACTAGAGAGTTTAAATAAACAGATAAGAAATTCTAGACTTGAGCACACGGCAAAAATATCAAGGTTAAACACAATGATGAATCAGATGCACTACCTTCTAGTGAGATCAGATCCAAAAATATTAAGCATATCTTTTAGAAAACATAAGAGCTATCGAGGAAAACCGTTACCAGATGAAGTTTTTAAATTAATTGTAATGTAAATAATAAATTTAATGTAAAAAAATACAGTATTTTTTCTCTATGTATCAACATCCTTTAAAAACTATTTTTATAAAAATATCAAGTAGAGTAATATATAAAAACTATGTGTTTATCTTGAAGATTCTAAAAACTAAAAAAAAAAAATTTTTGTACGCGTATACCTTTAACACGCGTATGCGCGCATTTTACGCGTCGAAGCTGCGCGTAAAAAAAGAAATATTAACAAATTTGAAATCTTTGACTTAAAAATTATTATTTTAACATATAACATTATTTATTTACAATTTATGTCAATTTTTATTTAATTTTTGCCGTTTTTTGATTGTCCTGAGTCACTGTGCGTCATCGAAGCCAGGTGATTTATTTTTTTTTAGAAAAGAAAAAGCTGTTTCATATTCTTTAAGAGAAAAGTCGCTATCGTGAAGTATTACGTCATTTAACGATTTAAGATATAATTTAAATGAGTTGGGTGTGGTTATAATTTTTTTAGCAAGGTTCGGGCCAATGTTTGTAAAGTATTTGTTTAACTCATTCGAGATTTTTAAAGGACAATAAATATCAGTTTTATTGATATTTATTCTTTGAAGCAGTAAAGCCGTAGTTATTTTTTTTCTTCCCATTATATTATTAATTACATCCCATGTTTTTTTTACATCGAATTTGTAATTTGTAATTAGCTTTTATGAGAAGATTTTCGTAAAACCGTTTATATTTTTTGTATATTTTTTCATTATCTTCACTTCTGTTTTTCAAATATTTATTGTAAAGTTTTTGTTTATTTTTTGAACATTTTATTAGACTTTTATTCATCCAAGGTTTTAGTATTGTTTTTTTTTTTAGTTATTTTTAATTGATATGGGCACGTTTCATTATATATATCAAGAAATGTTTGTAGGAAAATATTAAAAGTTTTATCAGCAATATCATATTTAAAAACCTGATTCCGCGACTCTTGCTTTAGTATATTAGAAAGATTATTCTCATTAATTGTTGATAAGTTGCGTTTTTTTTGAGTTATAATCTTAAAAGCCCCTTTGGTTCTACTTCGTAAGGAATAGAAATGTAAATGAAAACGATCAAAATAATCTCTGCAAAAAAATGCATACATATTAAGATGTGAGAAAGAATAATTCCAATTGCAAATGATATTAGTTTTAACATGACACCATTAGCTTAAATTGGACAGCAAACTCTTGCAAGTGTTAGTCAGCATACGCGAAACATTATCCCAACAGAACTTGCTAAAAAAAATTTATTATTTGCCGGTCGCAGTGTACATAGTGAATGGCTCTTACCGGTGCTCTGTAATAAGACCGCTGTGCTCTGTAATAAGACTGTAAGGACTTCTGAAAGCACCTTAATAATTAAATAAAAAAAAGGAAAACAATTGTAGCTAATCAAACGTTTGTTTATTAATTCATTAATTTTTTTTTCCCTTTAGTTCACTTGATACTTTTGATTTTCATAAATTCTTTTTACACAAGGCCCTATGGTAAAACTAGGTTGTGAAGTAAGGTGGGCTGAAAAAACTGTCTTGAAAACTAGGAAACGGCAGGGCATACAATAGTTGCTCCATGACCTTGTTAGTTATTGTGCAAAATATTTTAAATTTTGGAAGTCATATTATGGTGCCCCTGGGCGTCCCAATTTTATGACTGCCAAATGGCCCAATTTGGTTTCAAAATGGTATAGCTTCCAATGAAGTACTGCCAAAAGCAACCATAATTATAATTAAGAGCAGTGAAATAAAGTCAGATAGTTAGGTAATGCAACAGACTGTTGTAAATATTCTAAGCTTTCTCTATTATCACTCATTCATAACGAAAATAAAGTAAATACTATACAATTAACTTAATGTACTTTTCAGCAAAACAAAGAAAGTCGGAAGTTATTATGACACCGAGTAGCAAACCAAAGAATCTGACTAATGCTCAGGTAAGCAGTACGACTATATTTATTACATTATTACATAACCGTAACCCTACTATTATTACGTGACAGAACTTAGCAAATCATGCTAACTTGAGAAGAGTAAGGGTTAAAGTTAAAGTTGGGGTTAGTGTTAAGGTTTACATGTAACGGCTGCTTCTCAGCAATAACTGAGTTCGTGTTGTTTATATTTTCAGGAAACGGAAAAGTACAATACTACACCCTGCAGCGCATCGAAGAAGCCGACAAGAAAGTCCCAATGGTGTCCGGTTTTCGGTTATCCGTCCAGAGCCAAAGAGACCCAGCTGCCAACAAAATTGGATACAATGCGAACCTTTTTGCAGATACGACAAGAGATGAAAGTGACAGACAGTGCTCCGGATCCTGCAGCTTTAACAGTCGCAGAAAGAACAGCGCAACATATCGAGCATATATGGATCAAAGCGTCAACAACATATCGAGCATATAGCGATCAAAGCTATTCCTTCCGAGAATCTTGTGGAACTTGTCACGTATGTCATGACTGTGTATGCACCGCTATGGTTCCACATTAAAGTCAGGTCGGCGTGCACGGAAAGATCGCGACATATGTGGAGACTAAAACAGTTTTCCAGATACATGAAACCGGAACTCAAAGTGATCGTTGATCCCGTAATTGCCAGAAACGGTTACTTTTGCCATTCTGAGAACATATTGTTGGCAATGCTAGCTGATAAAAGAGACCACATTAGAGATCTGGGCTGCAGACGGACACTTGCTGCACGGAAGGAGAACGTATCAGAAGCACTGCGATAATTTCGAGTTCCAAGTTTAAACTTCAATGCCAGAGATTACATTGACCTGGTAAACTGGAACAACAAAGACCGCTGCGAACCTCCGATGAAGAAACACCTGGTTGAAGCAGAGCTACAAGACTGCGTTAAGAACAGGATCGACCAACTTGTTAGGAGCCTACCACAATTTCCCTGCCACATCCAAGCCACCGAGCGACATATTCGTCTAGTAATTGATCCATCGGCGGCAATTTGCACTGAACAACGAGACGGATTCATCCGTTCTGGTATTGAATCCAGAAAGTAAATGAAAACGTTTGACAACAAAGCACAATACAGACTTTAATATTTTATTTGCATGTGTAGTGTGTACTTGTGTACTGTGTAGTACAAGTATTTTAAGTAAGTAAATTAAACATTGCTTAGTTGTATGTAAAATGTCAGAAAATTACAAAATTGCATAAAATTGGTGATATTTCAAGAGTATTGGGACACCCCAAGACCAACAAATTTATTACCTCTACTTTTTTGTTTTCACTAATGCTACTATGGAGCAACTATTCCACCCCCTGCCAATTATAGATTTGCAAATATTTTTTTTTACAATACTTTCAGTCCGCCTTATTGTGAAGCTCCAAAATCAAAGTGTTTTCTATACAATCACATTGTAAACATGATTGTAAAGAGTTTGATATATAGCAAGTATTTAAAGCAGTCCCTAAATTATTAGGGTCTGGTAATAAGTTATCCAGTTGTCGGAGCGGCTGTTCTCTCATATTGTTTCATTAACATTTAAATGATATGATGTTAAAAAATAGAAATCGAAAATAAATTACTTTATTTTTATGAAAATTTATTTCAAAAACATAAATAATTAATATTACGAATAAATTGATTTTTAGCCGACTTAGTCGATTTTTAAAATGTTGCCGAATTGTAGCCGAAATGTTGTCAAAATGTAGCCGATTTTAAACAACTTTAGAAAATATATTAGTCGATTTAGTCGACAGACAAATTATTTAACAGTCGTAACAACACTAAATTAACTGCATCCATAAACAGTAAATAATAATAGTAAATAAATAACTACATCCTAATCAGATGTTAACGCGATATTGATAGTCATTGCAAATAAGTCTTAAAATTTGTTCACCATTTTTAAATAATTTTTTGATAGTTTTCCATCAGATTATTGCACTAGTTTTTTCTCACTTAAAAGTATTTTGAAGTTACAAAGTTAAAAGTTATTTTTTAAAATTGATTTGTAAAAGTCAGACCAAATATTCACGAGCCTAATACATCATATTACCCGTTAGCTTATTTAGTTGTTAAACGAATTTTGCACAAAACATCTTTACTTTTCGATGTTCTTTTTTTATTTTTTTATTCTTTCTTTTTGTTGATAAAATCACTATAAACTGCATTAATTCGAGAACTCCTAGAAAGTATTGTTTTTTAGAAAAACATTTTTTAAATAATAAAGAAAATGGGGACTAAAAGGAAAAATAGTTGAAAACTAGATGAAATTGTCCAACTAAAATCTATAAGGTTTCAGGCGGGACCTAGTTAAACCCAACTGAAACAATCATAATGGTATTAAGGTGGAAAACCTAGATGAATCCCAATATTTTGCACAGTATGGTTCAAGCTAGAACCCAGTTGTACCGGGTAACTGGGCAGTCTTAGTTCGATAACTAGAAATAAAGATTTTAGATGAAAATCTAAAAGATTTAAGGATTGCTTCAAGAATTCTTAAATTGTATTTACTTCAAGAATATTTAAGTAAGAACTTCAAGAACAAATATTTTCATAAAAAAACGACAGTGACAATATTTTTAAAATTATTCTTAAAAGTATCAATGACAATACCTTAAAATAAAATTTGATCAATTAGTTATTAGTAATCTTAAATAACTATGCATAAAGGAAAAGTATAAAGTCTTAATGTTTAAAAAATGTTTCGTTTTACACATAACCGTAATATTTCTTGAGAGATTGTTTTCAAGAGCGCTTAATGACACCACCGTGATAAGTTTCTGTTTTTTAAAAAAAAGATTATAAAAAGAGATTGATGTTATAAAAATATTATATTTTTTTAATTAATTTTTTTTTTTTAAATTTTATATTTATTTATTTTCAAAAATACTTTTTTTTATTGTTTTTTTAAGACGGTGAATCTGGTTCATAAGATATCTAATTCGCCGGAGTTTGAATGTTTTTATTTTCATTCGAAAGTCAGAAATTTTTTTTGCGTAGATAGCTAGAGTTATTTTAATGTAATTCACGAGAATATTTAAAATACGAAACGAATTCTAAAATTTTTAAAGATTATATATTTTGGATATATGTATGTATATATATATATATATATATATATATATATATATATATATATATATATATATATATATATATATATATATATATATATATATATATATATATATATATATATATATATATATATATATATATATATATATATATATATATTAAAAGTATTGTAGCTAAAAAAATTACTTTATTTTTCAAAAACATAAAGCCAAGCCGGCTTGATTTTGGAATACATAATAAATACAATAGTGGAATACAACATTGGAATACATTAAAGGCATACAAACAGATATACAAATGTATTATAAATATAGATTATAATAAAACGCCTATAAACTTTTTAACATTATAAGCATAATTTTAGTCATGTCCATAAGTAAAAATTGTTTAGAGCAGCTAATATAACAAAAAGTATATAAAAAGGTAAAAAGTAAAACGAATGGCATATTTGAAATCAAGCATTGCTAGCATTACATTTAGAGGATGGCAGTTAAAATATTTTTTATTTAAAAATTGAGACATTAGTCTGTTATAACAGAGTCTGTTTAACAGTGCTTGATTTTTAAAAGTTTTTAAAACATGTTCATGAATTTCACAAGTAGACGTGTTAAGGTTTACTTAATAAAAAGCATTATTCAAATAATAAACTTGCTTCTAGGGAATGTCTATTACTTGTAAAAAATGTTTTTAGGGAGTGTCATGCCCACCCTTAAACATAAGAAAAATTAAAAAAAAAGGAATTTATGTCGGCAATAAATGAAGAACTATTTTATAATACAAATAAACAAAAATCTTAAAAAACAAAAACAAAAAAAAAACAGAGAAACCGAAAAACAAAAATATTTAAAATAAAACCTATTATGTGCGGTACTGAAATATAATATTGAATATGTAAAAAATAAAAATGTTATAAATAAAAATGTGGTTGGCCAACAGCTCCAAAACAAATTAAAAAAAAATGCGTTATATAACAATAGTCAATAGTTTGATTAACTACTGTTTCCAAGGTTGATTGTTAGTATAACATACTGTATAAGTTAGTATAATAAGTTAGTATAATATGCTGAATATAATAAATAGTATAATAAGTTAGTATAATATGCTGAAATTTTAACAGTTTCAACTTGATTTGAAATTTTAGGCTCATTATTAACACTCTTTATAGCCTTCCTTTGAATACTTCACATATTTTTTACGAATCGGTCAACTTAAGATCTTTTTACGCTTTTTTAAAAACATTGATGGTAATCCGTGATCTTCATTTTTTAAAAACATTGATTGTAATTCGTGATCTTCATTTATTCACTAATTTATAATTTATTCACGATCTTCCCATCACAAGCCATTCTAAAACAGTCAAAGTATTTATATTAAAAATTATGTTTTGATAAAAGTCTATGGTGCTAAAGAAACATGGAAGTAGATAAAAATCATTTTTGTTAGTTTAGTTTTTAAAAAAAAAAAAAAATCATACATAAATTTTAATTTGAATTGTTGAATGTTTGGTCTTTTCGAAAACAGGTTTCTTCTAGGTTTTTTTCAAAATAATGGCTTTAATTAATTTAAAACTTATTCAATTTTGAAATGTTTTGCTTTGACTGAAAGATAAACATTTTTAAACAAAATAAATAGATACTTAAAGTCTAGGGGTCATCCATAAAGGACGTCACGCTAAGTTTAACTAATGGCAAGAAGTAGACAAATGTTGGCTCTCTCGCACAGAGATTTTTAGAATACAGTTGCGCCTTATGTTCAAAGAAAATCTCCGCGGATGGGAGCCAATAAACTTTAACGTCTGGTTAGTATACAAATTCTGAATGACGTCCTTTATGGAAGACCCCCAGGTGTTGTGCTTTATTTTTATATCATACATGAAATATATTTTTATTAAAAGATTTATATTTATTAAAATGAAAACGTTAGATGTATGATCTAATTCTGGCTATTTATGAATCTAATGTCGGTGTAAAACCTCGGTTGTTAAATAATCTCGGTGTTTGGTTGGAATAAGATTAAAACATACCCGGATTTTTGTCATTTTACTGGATGCAGAAAAGCCAAAATAAACTTTACTGCAAATAGACTATAACACTGGCTCAAACTAATCAAAAAGCAAAAATTATTTTTTTTATGAAAATTAATTTTTATTTACAATAGCATGATCTCATATAACACATGTTTTATACTTAAAATGCCTACAAGAGATTTTAAATCTAAAATGTTACTTTCTAAGATAAATTTTTTGTTGACAGGGTTCGTATTATTTACATAAATAAAAGCGTTCATTAGCATAATATAGAAACAAAGATACTAAATTCAAAATGTGGGTAATATTTGTTACTTTTTACCCAAACTCAAGCTTGTTGTTTAAACGAGATTTAGAATCAATCTCCAATAACACAGTTTATATGTGCGTTTTTTTTTTAGAACAAAACAATTATTAGCGTGATTAAATGTAAGTATTTTTGTTAGACGCCATATACGTGTTTCAGTTACAGTTCCGGGACAAAAAGATTTTATCTATTGAACTGATAAAATCAAATATTTTAAAACGTAACAATCAGCTGTTACTATTGGTCTCCGACAACACATTTTATAAAACTATGTTTGTTTTCTATAACTATGGTTATTAAAAAAAAAATTAAAAAAATAGGGTAATAAATAGGTTTTAGCGACGTGTTAATCCAACGTTGATGGATAAAACGTAAAAATTCAATGGTGAAAATAAAATGAAAGAAAAATGTTGCAACTTACCCCGCTCTGGGGCAAGTTGCAACAGTAAACGCGATAAGTTGCAACAGCATAATTTGATAGTATAAACCTTGCAGAGTTATTTTAAAGATTTTTGCTACTTTGTAATTTATATTACTTTACGTAAATTTTATACATATAAATAAAGAAGAAAAATAAAGTAATTTTTTTAGCTACAATACTTTTACTATGTGAAACTTAATACAGACTTAATACATGTTTACTATATTTATGAACGCATTATGTAGACAATTTTTGTAAATTTTTTTAGTTGGCATGTTATCCTTATAGTTATATAATGTAAAAATATATATAGTTTTTAAACTTTATGTTTTTAAGAATTTATGGGTATTTTATGTTTTTAAAGTTTACGTTAACTTTAAGTTTTCAGGTTTTATGGGTTTTTTAAATATTAATCATACATTAAAAACCTTTTAAAGGATTTTTATAATATGGTAGTTTAATTGATGTCAAAATAAAAACAAAAAATTTTCGAAAATGGAACCAAAACGAAAACATTTAAACACTAAAAACTTAAAGGACACGTAAATTTTCAAATATGTAAACTTCAAGTAAAGCAAGTAAACTTCAATGACTTGAAGTACATGCAAATCTTAAAGATTTGAACTAAATACAAACGTTAGAGATTTTAAATACAAACCTTAATAATTTAAAGTACACGTAAACTTCAAAAATTTAAAGCACGCGTAAACCTAAAAGACTTAAAATACACATAAACCTCAAAGACTTGGAGTACGCGTAAAATTCAAAGACTTTTCATTACAAATTATTAAAAAAGAAATTTTTTTAAACAAACAGATTATTATTTTAAAATAATGTTTTACTTAAAATAAAAAAACTATTTTTTTAAACAGTTTCTAATTAATAATAAATATACTGTTATATAGTAAATAATTCTTGTATACATGTTTAATAGTTTAACATTATTGACGCAAATCTACCATATTGTTCAATAAACACAGTGATTATTATCTTTAATGGCTAAACAGGGAATAATCAAAAACCTAATACGGAAGATTAAATTATAAGATCCTCCCCTGCACCAGGTCTACTTAATGCAAAACGCGATGAAATTGTATGAACATGCATAACGTCTACATTAAAATTACATGAAGATTTTCATACTTAGTATCCGTGGACGTTTGATTATGTCAGTAAATAAATTAAACTTAATAATTTCAGTTTGTCTTAGTCTTTCCATAATGAACAATAATTTAATTTGTGTTAAATATATTTAACAACAAGTATTATTATTATTTTTAATATTATAAAAACACTAACAATCCTTCTAATGGTATAAATAATAAATAAAATATTAAAAACTATAATAATGAAAAGCACATGCAGCTGTAAAGATACCAAAAATAGTGTCGGGTTGACGCCAAATTGAAGGGACGGGAAGCAAAATGAAAATACGTATTATAATAACAGAATTTCTAATTATAAACAAAAACAACAATAAAGAATTCCATTAATACATGTTAATCTAAATATTCCTTAAGTAATATTTGTTAAAATAAAATAATGACTAAGTAAATACTCTATACAAGAATTCTATATAAGTTGTTAATAATTAAACGTTTAAGTTAATGCATTTCCGATTGAAATTTAACAATATGCCACCGAAGCCTCATTGAAATTTTATTATACCAAGAAAAAACCACGACGTCAATATTATTTGTCTTCATAGCAATATTATCTTTACGAGAAAACCTTTTGTGTCAAAAAAAACTTATAAATACAACCTACTATTATGAATGAAAAAAGAAAATAAAGAGAAATAAATTCATAAAATAATGATTAATAATTTATTCTTCCTTAATTATTTAGCTAACCGTTGAAGGTTCGGTTTTCAAAAAATTTTTATCTTGATAAATATGAAATTATCTTGAGATGTTTAAAAACAGTTTTAAGACAAATCCTTTGAACGTTAAGTTAGATGCCTGAAAAATGAAGCGATTTTTTTGCAAGCTGTTTAGACGAAAAAGAAAACAGTTTCATTATGCACGAATCTTTAATGATTGTTCAGTTAATTTATGCGATCTTGTTCAAGACGAGCGAATGACAGTTCGCAGAAACGCACTTTCATTATCTGGAAAAGAAAAAGATGATTTAGTTCGATTGCTAGAAGAAAAGATTCTGGATGAAAACCTAAAAGAGTATTTAGGAATTACATAGTGGAAAAGGAAAAGTTTTTATTTCACGGAGAAGATGTTTCAGAATGAAATAAATTGGATCAAGCGAATTGAACAGAATTGAGAATTTAATAAATCATACTCGAAATCTCTAGAAATTAAAATTTATCAGGTTTACTGAAAATCATCAAAGACATTCAGATTAAGCTAATGGAACAAATACAAAAACGAAAACCGTCAAAAACATTAGATCATTTACATATTGTAATTAGTTATTTAAAAAAATAATAAGAAGTTAGCCTAATTTGTTAACAACTGGGTTTTTTTTTGGATTTTTTAATAAAAAAAAAACAAACTCAGATACCCAATTAATATACGCATTTAAAAAAACCCTGACAAAAAATATTTAGAACTTTTTTTAATTGCATAGGCCCAACAATATAAAACTTAAGAAGAATAAAAGAAAAGGAGAGTTTTCGCTTCTTCAACAGCTTCCTGATTGCAATCAGATTATTTTATTTTATCTTTCTTTTCATTTTTAAAAACACTTGTTGTTCAGTTTTTTATTTGTTTTTTATTTTATTTTTTTGATGAAAAGCTGTTATATTTTTAAACACCAACGATAAGAAATTATTATAGGAAACCAATAATAGTTTCCTTACTATTTTATGTAGAGTTTCTTTGTTTGTGTAAATTTCTATAATTTGTTTAATTAACTTTAGTAAGTTTTCCACAGTTTGTCATATTACACTAATAACAATTAGTAATACTGACTTCAATAATCTAAAAAAAGCACAAGTATTTAAATTTTAGTAAAACAATTTTTAGTTAGTTTAAATGTTCTTTGAAGTTTGCGGCAGAAAGCGTGCAAAACTTCACGCCGTTGCAACCGTCTTAACATCAATTATCTATTTATACATCTTGTTTTTTTATAAATCTATTTTTATAATCATTTTCAATTATTTTGATTTTTAAATTTTTTTTTCCTGATTTTAATTAATTTGTTTGTTTGCTAACGTTGTTTTGATTCAGTAGGTTATCAATTTTGTAGTTCACTTTTCTCGATTAAAAATAAACTTTTTTTAAACAAAGTTCTTTTAAAACATATTTTAACTTTATGATTATTTAAGGTTTTGCTTTATTAGCGTATGCCAAAGGACTTTTTGGTTTTATTAGTCAGAATATTAGGTACGCACTAAACATAATTTGATCACTAGTGCACAACTTGTTCGAGATGTGCATTATAGACTTTTTGGAATATTACTGACTATTTGGAAAGATGGCAAAATTTCAACTACTCAATTAAAAGTAAAAAAAAAAAATTAAGGTTTCATTATCACTTTTTGATTATTATATCGACTTTAATATAGATATGTCTATATAAATAATCTAAAAATAAACTAAATCTGTTATTTTATTTGAATAAACAATTCAAACTTAGTTTTAAATCATTTGATATGTATTTGCTAAACAGCTAACTTCTCTTGTTTTTATTTTTTATTCTATTTCAATCTTAATTAAATTTTATTTATTGTTTTTACTTTTGATTGATTTTTTTTTTCTTTTTATGTTCATGCTTCCAGTAGCACAAAAGTTTGATTAAACTTTTCAAGCTTTTAAATCGTTTGGTATTGATTTGTTTAACAGCTCAACTAAAAATTTTATTAAGCTGTTTCAAAAATTGAACAAATT